AGGAAGTGTCTTGTCACCTACTTTATTTTTGTGTATGATAAATGACATCTTACAAGCTCCCCCTCGGAATCTTAAATACTCACTGTACGCTGATGATTGTGCATTATGGCATTCTAGCAGTAATGCAGAATTCTCAGCAAATCGCATCCAATTGGCACTGGATATGATTCATAACTGGGGCCTCCAGTGGGGTTTTAAGTTTTCCACAAGAAAGAGTATTGGGGTATTTTTTTCACGAAGGAGAATGCCGAACATCAGGCTATCTCTAGACCACCACCCAATACCTATTCAAAATTCTGCTAGATTTCTTGGTCTACTTATTGATCGTAGACTTAATTGGAAAGACCACATTGGTCAATTAAAGAATAAATGTCAAAAAGCACTAAATTTATTAAAGTGCATTTCTGGAAATAAATGGGCTGATAGAAAGTCTTTGCTAATGGTATATAAAGCCCTGATTAGGTCTAAAGTAGATTATGGGTCAATCGTGTATGGTTCGGCATCGGCCTCAACTTTGAAAGGTTTGGATGTTGTGCAAAATGCATGTGTGCGTAGTTGTCTTGGGACCCTCAAATGCACAAGGATTGAGCGTCTAGAGGTGGAGTCAGGAGTACCTCCCCTCCGACTCAGACGCGGCCAGCTGGCGCTGACCTATGCCCCGAAGGTGGCTCGAGACCCGAGCCACCCCAACGGTAATGGAGCCATTAGGCCCTTTACTACAAGACTCCACGACCTCATCCTTAAAGTCGGTATAGATCTCTCTACCATCGATACCCTGGTTCATACAAATATAGCGCCATGGGAAACGCCCAATTTTACCATCATGGAAGCTTGGCTTCCATCGACCAAGGCCATGGCGCCGGAGGTGGAGGTACGCCAGAGGTTCAGAGAGAGATCCTTGTTAAACATCTACCTTTTTTTCATATATATACCGACGGCTCCAAGACCGAGCAAGTAGTGGGTGCAGGTGTATGGTCGAATGAATGTGAGTTGAGATTCAGACTGCCGAATCATACATCGATCTTTATTGCTGAACTTTTTGCTATTGATAAAGCTATTGATTTTGCACTATCGACGACCCACGATAGAATAGTCATTTTTTCCGATTCCTAAAGTTCACTTAAAGCCATTAAATCCTTAGAAACCACTCAACATGAACTGCTGGGTAATATCATTCGTAAGCTACATAGTGCCAACAAATCAATCAAGCTGATATGGGTGCCAGGCCACTCTGGTATCCATGGCAATGAACAGGCTGACCGACTAGCCGAGTCAACTGGCGATCTGGACCTTAGCATAGTCCGGACAGATCTCAGGTGTTTTGTGTCTCTTATAAAAGCAAAAATCCATCTCCTGTGGCAAAGTGAGTGGACCGACCTGCAGCTGACAAACAAAGTCAGAGAAAATGTAGAAGTGTGGGAAACAGCCCACAGAAAGAACAGAAGGGAGGAAGTGGTATTGGCCCGCCTTAGGGTCAATGCCACAAGATTGACCCACCTCACTCCCTACATTGAAAAGAGCTACCCTCCACAATGCCAACATTGCAATACCATCAAAACCATTAAACACATAATAACCACATGTCACAAATATAATCAACAACGACAACCTCTTAAAAATCACTTTCGAATCATAAATAAAGAATTTACAATAAAAAATATACAATCAGATGAAAAAATAATACGTAGAGTAATCGCTTTTCTAAGGGAGACAAAACTTTATGACATTTAGATTGAAAGAATAAATAGGATCCATTGGCTTAATAACCTTGGCCACATGCCGCTGCTAGATAGCCAAGAAATCCAACCAAAGTTAAAAAAAAAAAAAGCGTATCACTCTCTTGGGTGGTTCGCTTGTAGCAGTGTCTGGTTTGCGGGGGCGCCCGGCCTCACCGGTTGCCTCCTCCTTGATGTATTTCTTGAGACCTACAAGTGAGAGATAAGTATATTTTCATTCTTTGTAAGAGGCCAGATAGGATGTGATATATGTATTGTACACTTTTGAGAATATACGGACTGAGGGGATCTCAGGTTTTCTTTGTAAGTTTTGTTTGTTTGCGTTTTATCCTTTTTACTTGTTTTAAAAGAAAAATGGACATATAAATAGACTGAAAGAATGGAAAAAGGAAATGATCACATTGACAATGATAATATTAAATGAAAGGTTAAAGTATTATTAAGCTTCCTTAATACTTACGGAGTTAAGGGCTTCAGAGTCGTAATGGGCGGGTCATGCTGTAAAACACGCCTGCTACCACGTTTTAAAGCTGTTTGAAAGTGTCTTAGCTGGGGTAAACACTATCGGCATATTCGTCTGTTTTTTTGTCCCTCCCTTCGTTGTTACTGTTGCAATCTGTTCGTCGTGAATTCCACACATGCGCCACAAGATGCAAAACAACTAAGAAAAGAATAGCTATCCCACTACATATAGGCCAAACTTTCAGTATGTGAGTACAGTACATTACAAAACCAGGCAGGTTTAAACTTTGTAAAGCGACAGCTATAACTAACCAAACGACATATCTATCAGATAAACTAATATAAACAAAGGCGCTCCAAACAAGCATCAGACACTGAACCCGTGACCCGTTTCCGGGGACGACTGAGGGCGCATGATCTATATAAGTATAAGACCTTGAACGCCAGTAGGCTTAGTAACCGCTATGGACTCCTCTTCTTTCAAATATTCCTCGAAACCTCAACCCCCAATCTTATCCATTCCAGTACCACCCGAAATTCTCTCCTTCCACACCACCCGCCTCCCTTCTTCAACCCGCTCTATTGCAACCCTATAGTTTTCACACTTTATGATGCATGGACTCAATATGATAGAGTGCTTATACGCACCCATTGTCAGCAATACAGTTCCGTCCTCCCAAGATCGAAACGGAAGCCGTGCCTTGTAGCTGTGCCTTCCTCTCTGTCCAGAGGAAACAGCTGTTCACACCTTCCTTGCCAGCCAAGGCTTTCTCTTCCGGCGACCAGCCCTTCGCCACGCCCAGAGGAATGGACACCCAGAGAATAGGGTACGAGGCACCTCCACCAGCAGGACAAGGAGTCGCTGGATATAAGGACGTCTCGTCAGGCAGAGAGGGAGAAAGCACCAGAGAGAAAGAGTACCTGAAGCAGACCAAGACCTAGCAGAAGTCACAGGGCAGGAGGTCACCCTCCACCCTCACTCGGGGCGAGGTCTCTTGCAGGGGTCACGTTTTTACCCTCAGCAATAAACCAGCAACCCAAGTCCCCTTTCATTCTCCACCACCTCCATGCCCCTAACTCTTACGTTGACATCTGGTGGCTAGCGGTGGAAGAACTTCACAACGCCGAACGTTCCTGAAGAAGCTTCTGCCGAAGTGTCTCCTCGCTACCAAGATCCACGCATCCACACCATGTCATGCTGACAACTCACGCTTGTGCTACGCTCCCGACGAAGTCGCTGAAGATGAATTCCCTAACCCACTCTCGCCAACCGACTCACCTACCTCGCCAAGTCTTCACGAACCTTCGTCAGCACAAGCCATGAAATCACACTTCGACCCTACACCACCAAGAAGGAAAAGGGGGGACATGGTTATGCTATTCAACTGTATTGCAGGAAGAGTGAAGATAGATTAACAGGACTTTTTAATCTTGAACACAAGGACGATTTTTTTTTCTTTTTTAAGATTTGCCAGGCATTTCTTCTGGCACGGGTTTTGCATTTAGCTACCCGTCTGTGAGTCTTTTTATTTGATAAAGAGAATAAGTGACGCTTGCAGGTGGCGTCAAATTTAGCCGAAAGATCGGCTTAAGGGTTGTGGCCGAAGGCCCAAGGATTCGCCCCACCAGGAGGCGACTGTAGGCACCCCCCCCTTCTTGTGACCCAAAGGGTCTGGAGGAACTGCCCACCTGACGTCATCAGGCTAAACGTCCCGGCCCATATCTCCTACCGGAAAACGGACCGACTGCTGGAGTCCTCCCCAACTCAGTCAGACTGGCCCAGGAGTTCTAGCAGGAGCGGCGAAACTACAGGAACAGTAGGCCGACTACGGGTCCGGTGGCAGACAGTAGCCCCTCTCCTCCGTCGCTCGCGAAGCTGGGGCACCCGAGAAAGTCCCCAGAAGGTCGACGCCGTTGGCCCCAAAGTCACAAGGCTCTGTGGCCGTCCCAAGGATTCGCCCCACCAGGAGGCGACTGTAGGCACCCCCTCCTTCTTGAGACCCAAAGGGTTTGGAAGAACTGCCCACCTGACGTCATCGGGCTAAACGTCCGTTTTCCTACCGGAAAACGGACCGACTGCTGGAATACTCCCTAACTCCATCAGACTGGCCCAGGAGTTCAAGCAGGAGTGGCGAAATACAGGACCAGTGGGTTGACTACGGGTCTGGTGACAAACAGCAGCTCCTCTCCTCTGTCGCTCGCGAAGCTGGGGCACCCGAGGAAGTCCCCAGAAGGTCGACGCCGTTGGCCCCAAAGCCACAGGGCGAAACCCTTTCCTGCAGCAGAAGCAGCTGGCTAAGACTTGATTTGATTTCAGGCAGTAGTAATCTTGATTATGCTGATGTAGTTTCGGCATTGCAGTGACTATACTTTGCATGGAGCTGGTGAAAGATGGCGACATGCCTCCCTTGCTGGTGGGGTAATTAACGGTTGGCATGATTGTGCACTACTTAGCATGGAACGGGGCAGTAGGCACGTGGCGACATGGCTCCCTTGCTGGTCTTCTTTCAGAGGTGTTGTTGCTACTTCGGCTGCCGGGAGAGATCTGAAGGACGAGAGGACACAACAAAAAGTTGAAAGTAAAAAAATGAGAATTTTGCTTCCCAAACAGAACTAATGAAACATGGAGCATTCTCCACAAAAACACGTGTGTGCCAAAAATGTGCATCAATTTAAAAGATTATAAAACAATTTAT